CGAGTCGTGCCCGAAAATTCGAAAAGATAACAAAAACTGGAAACGAACACTTTGATCTGTTGCGACGGACCTTCCGACAAATAGGCAACTTAATGTTCCGATAGATGCTCAATGTGCATGATCGCTTTTGCGTCAAGAAGGCAATTAAGACCTGGCATCTATGGCTGACACACAAACTCAATTCACTAGAGCTGTCTAAACGTCTAGCTATCAAATGCGTCTTCGGAATGCGAAATCTACCATGCGCGCGGAGGCTACAACTATTGGAACTGTTCAGCAGATGGTATCGTCGAGTACAACGAAACCTGATAATTGTATACGTAGATTACACAATACAGACGGTGTTCCGCTTTTTACTGCAACCCAAAAATAACAAGAACTTGAGAGTTCACCCCTTGAAACTGGCAGAATCCACAGCCGTCTGAAGTGCCGAAGGAATTGCTTTTCTTTTCTTGTGTGTGTCGCCCATGGAACACTCTCCACGAAGAGGTCTCCTCTGCAATCGCACTGTCCATATTTAGACGTCCGTTGGATAAAGCACCCAGTCAATAACACTTTGTTACTTAACTATATCTCTATGTCCTACTTCCGGAAAATACCGTGAATTACTTATATGTCGCTAACTGGAAATGGAAATGTACGCTGAGGGTGCGGCTACTGCATTAAAAATGTTGCATTCATTATTTTATCGTTATTTTATGCAGTATGCATTACGCATTATTTTAGCAGTCAAATTGTTTTCGCCTATTTTATGAACCATTTTGCTATTCAAATAGACCACCAAACGTGTCGTGCTTCAGTTCATATTACTTGTGTAAAGTAGTTACCCATTGCACATAGTTTGAGAGTTAGGAACATCTTTTTACATAATCTATGGTGTACTGATTCTCAGTTACGATGAGGCTTATTGAAAAGGGCCAAATTGCTAAACATATTATGCTGTAATTTTTTAAAATCCCTATATCACTGCCCAAGTTACTTGTGACTGCGTTACACTGCATCACTGAATACGCCAAATATCCAAATTATCAACTTCAATGCAACGAAGAACAGATTGAGCTTGGGATACCCTTCTCTTCGTAACATACTAAACAAAATAGCACTCAATCATCTAACATTTTACAGTTCACATTTGAAATGCATATCTTCGGGATGTAAATTTAACTTAATGGAATGTGTTGAAAGTGCAATCGAATACGACTGTTCTTTTGTTATCAGATGTTTACACTTTCATTTATCCTAACGGAATCGTCCTTGATATGCGATTTCAAGAGTATGCGCAAAAAATATTTTCAGCTACCTCTAGACTACTGCAGCTGAACAGAGAACAATCGACATGAAAATATTCGCTGTGGCATTAGCAATACCTACCCGGGGCACACGTCTTTGCAATTTTCCATTTTCATGTTGAGAGCTACGTGATTTATATTCGAAAGCTGCAATCAGTTACGCCTCCAGCGTAGGTCAATTTGGTAATAGGATTCACACCCGGTGATTAATTGTTTCCCTCTGACTTAGCGCATGTTCCTCATCTATGGATATTCCTAGCCGCGAGCTATGAGATTTAGTGAACATTCGGAGGAGCAAATTCAATACACTTTGCCGCATAATAACTGCTTGTAATGACCGTCTATGTGTCTGACCCGTAACCCGCTCTCAGCACAACATGATCCAGTCATGGATGTATTGCAAGCGGTTCCGAAGGTCTTCCATAATGTTGCTGGCTACATTGACAAGGACAATGTCAATATTGATATAGAATACCGATGTTGGTCACGGAATATTTCTTCGCCAACTAGTGTGCGGTCTTTCAGATGTCAAAGGCTGACACCATCACAGTGGTTACAGTGGTGACGAATCATCGGGTTTACCAATGGGAAAGTCAAGAACAATCGCGCTGCGATAGATGCGTATGTTGTAATAGCTTTGTAGTAACAAAAGTTTCTCTGGTGCGAGGCGTAGATAAGCCCCGAACAGCAGCATATCACCCGCAGTGTAACGGATTGGTTGGGCGTACAAATCGATCGCAGCACTCGCGGCTGATGGAATTCGTGGATCAGAATATAAATGAGTGGAACACTTTGTTGCATAAATGCTTGCTAGCATATCGAACTGCGTTTCAAAACTATCGGGCAAACGCCAATTTATATGTGGAAGGAACTAGAAGTGTGGGTGCGTAGGGACGCCCGAAAACATGTGTCGGAGCAGGTGTACCCTTCCGTAAAATACTGCGTCAGTAGGCTTCTCTCACCCATTCGTGAGGCGCACCAAGCTGCGTGTGTTCATTTGACAAATGTCAAAGTAAGGCAGAATTTCTACGATTAAAGACAAACGAAGTAATATAATTTCGTGGAATAGAGCCCGCAGAAAGGCCATTGATGGTGCATCATGAATGGGCTGGTCCTAACTTTGTGCAACTGGTAATATCTGATCTTACAAGTTTGATTGGTGTACCAAATAACCCCGTCAGAAAACCTATGGTCAAACACTTTAATTGGCTCAAGGGTTTCTGATTAACGAATGAGCCGGGGACACAGACAATGAAACACCAAACGGGATTAGCGATAAAATTACAAATGCCCATTCAGTAGTGCTGCTACATGAAAACAAGGATGAAGCCTAATTAGACGGGGTGCGATGTAACGAAAGATTGACTCTGCTACTAGAGTGTCCCAATTTGAATCGATGCCTTGACGCCACATTTCCTTTTACCGATCAGGGCATCCTTAGTGTTCGATTAGAGAGGAAGGACGGAAACCGAAAGATAAGGTTTAACTAGCGTGCGTGTTGCGTAATAAAGTTCCATCTCCGCTTCTGGAATTCTTCCCGCCTCGTTTACTACAGAACCTCTGGGTTTGACTTTGTGGATTTGCGACAAGTCTTATTAGATTCTAGCGTGTCACATATCTCAACCGTTTCGCGCTAAAGTTCTATATTGCTCATTCACAAGCTGTCTGTGTGTTCTTAAACCAATCATATACAAACACTACAAAATTTTCACAATTTATGTACCATCTGACTATTTTGTGTAGGTTTATGCTAGCCTACTAGATCACCAACCCGGTCTTGTTAACCAGTGCTGCCTTACTTGTGTGAGTTTATTTTTCACTGCTCTCAGCACTGCTGTCCTCTCTATTCAACCATGGGCTTCGTACCACACACATTCCAACACGTCAGTGTCGAGTGTTCCAGAATTAAGGTAGAAAATCCCAGAAAAATATCAGACTGCTGTAGAGTGTTTGACAAGGAATAATTTATATTCGGTTTAGGACCGTCTCGATTGGGTTTTGCAGCATGGTCTCAGACCAACCCCATTTTGCTATTTTGCATGCTACCATTGAATACATTGCATGACCCCAACTATCAACCATGATTATGAATGGACCTTCATGTGCTTCGCTGGTTTCGTGCCATCTGGCTCAACGTATACTCCACGTTGGCTCTTTTTATACCTAACTCAGATGAGGTTGCTTGGGTGGCCATTACCGAACATGAAGTATGCTTTATGCCACAAACATAGAATTATGCGTAACACTGACAGCGAATAGACGACACCTCGTGTATTTGGATGGTGAGACAATCGCTGACATAGAGTTCGTGATTATGTCACCAGATAATTGTGCCTCACGAACGATTCCCACTCCTGAGGCTGAGTTTCTTCCGAAAGTGACGTCGGAAGTCTCAGGAGACCATGAGCGCATCGTTAGAATGTTTAGGGTGTCCTTGGAAGACATTCAACTACCTCATTGCGTCAATATGGCGATCGGGGAACTACAAGCGATAAGATTCTACTGCGATCTGCAACCCTGATCTTATTATCGGAATGAGTGTTTGTGCCCCCGAGACGAGATGTGATTAGCACGTATTCCATCCAACCGATGGGTACGCATACCCCCTCCCTCGATCCTAATAAGTTACTTGTCCTCATAACTCCCAAATGATAAATGTTGATGAATTGGAATTAACTTCTGTTACTAGGTAAATGTTATGGAATACTCTAGCACGTGTTAATTTGGCACATCATCAACTGCCTTCCAGAAGAGGCGCGTCTGTGAAGCTGAGTTTTTGCTACTCCACTTCCAGTTGCTAAACGTAACCATCACATAGAGCATCCTTCGCCAACTGCAACAACCTTGTGGTGAACAGGAGTCTTTATGGTGTTGAGTTTTCTCGGAGCTAAGCCGTTCAGATTTAAACTTATGGGTGTCATGATAGGCAAAATCGTCCGCATATTTATCAACGTAGTTGTCAAACATGTTGACGAAACGATTGCAGCCAATGTACCCAGGTCAGTGAACAGTTGGACTCTATCCCACATACACCGATAAATAAAGATGTAGCCTAGTCATCCACGAGAGTTTACTGTGAGGGAATGCTAGGTAGGGTATGGGCGGTTGCGTTGAATGAGTACCGGGTGGCATAAGATGGTTTAGCATAACATCATGGAGAAACAAGTTTTGCTGCATTTGACTAGTTTGAACTTTTACCAGTTAAGTGCTACTATAAGGATAGATACGACGCAACGAATTTAATAGACTCTTGTGGATAGTATTGTACTGTATGTCAAAGCAGTTTAATGAGAGTACTAAAATTGTTCCGTGTCAAACGTCATGAAGCGTAAAACAGTTCTTTCCATACAATGCCAGTGAAACAGACGATTTGCTTTGATCACAAAACCATTACAAACACATATTGCATAACTGCATAATAGAGAGTTGCACAAGCTCAAATTAGGAGAGAGAACTCTCTAAGTGATTGAACGCTACTGGACATACAATAACCCAATGGGGTTGTCAATTTTCTTGGAATGGTCCCATTCTGGCTCAAAATTGCTAACAGTAATGCTTACACGCACCAATATTGCACGCAAAACAACTCGTAATCTAAGTGGAACCGCCTGCTGTGTTGCAGTTAAGTTCATTTTCCTAGTACGTAATGGTTGGATAGATGTCAGTATCGATTTCAAGACATTCTACGAGTATACTGAATAGGCTGCGTGGTTACTCACCATTTCCAATTGATGTTGAAATAGCCGGTCCACTCTGTGCGGGTTGTGAATTTGTGGCGCCAACGGGCAGACCTGTGTAGCATAGTTCTTGTGCTTCTAGGCCGATCATGTAGACGAGCGCAGAGATCCAACGATTAATGTTTTTCCACTCTCCGTGATCAGTCCCCGTGCGGTCTGATTCACCTGACCTCGTTACGTGTTTTATATATGATCAACGTGCTATATCAGTGCTGTATGACGCAACTGTGCAACCTAAGAGAGTTGACCTCTGACCACTTTCTAGTGACGTCACGAGAACATTGTTATCAAGGATTTGCTCATCGGTAGGTGCGACGACGTTTGTTAGGTTTGCTAGGAGTCAAGGAACCCACACGTGGGGAGGCGCAATTAATCGCCGAAATTATCCGTCAAACACGAAACGGATGACGGTTGGAACCGACCAATTAAATTAACCTGACAACTCGCTAAATTATCCAGAGAATGGCAAGTATTAGCTTCACACTGTGGTTCCCAGTCATGGAAGATAATGGCGATTCGAACCGTGAACTTCGTATGTGGTCACTATGTGGGCCATAGAGAGACACCTACTAAATCGACACGATGCGAGCAAGGTTGGTGTTAAATGCAGGAAATATAGTTAGGGTTCAGTCCGAGAACAAGGCACTATTCTACGTTGTGAAGTACTGATACTGTCCATTATTGGATCATGGAGTTAGGAATGCAGTGTTGGGAGACATCAGCTCCGAACTGTTTTCTCTGGTCTGTCGTTGTGTCGAGATTTACAGTAAGAATGCCCTAAAATGGTGTGTAGGAGCGCACTGATGCTTAAATTTGATCTAGTTTCTCGAATCTTCAGACGAACCTTTGAAGGTGTGTTTAACTGAGTAATACATTACAAGAACACTGGCAGTTTGGTTTGCATTATTAGTAAGTTTATTAGTCCTATCTTCTAGTTTGCCACACTGTTTTGTCTAGTGTGGATTTGGTGCTTTAGAGATTCGGGTCTATTTGGGAAACTCATAGTTTAACGTAAGCTTCTAACATGTCAGCTGCCAAGATTTGTGCTTCACCCTGGCAATAGTGTTTACTTCTTAGCATTGAACACACCGATCACGAAATCTGCCGTCACCATAAAAGACTTTGTTGCCGCGAATCCTCATTCTTTACTGCATCTTCGTAATGGAGGCAGGGTTCTGAAACCTTCAGCAGTATGTTTTACCTCACATATTGTTTCACCTCGGTGTTAGTTTGGTGCAGCTATTACTAACGTGCTTACATCACCGTTCGAATCGCTGACCAAATGTACATGTGTTATTCAAGCGTCAACAAATAACGTTAAACGTTTGCGCATTTCTAACGTCGTGAGGCACTTCCGAATAAGCTATGCGGAATTGAGTATCAACGCATCAGCGAACTTAAACGTTCATCTATGGTCCCAGGTGCTGGGGCATACCAATGGTATCCACCTAGTTATTTCGTGTAATAGCAATCAACAGTTTGGCAGGCATGGCTCGGTTTTATTTACATGAGCACTGTTACGGGACTAGTTATTAAGACCGTTATTTTGGTCATTAAGTCATTCTCCACTCCCAATTGTAAATCCAGCTCGTTCGAGGTTGAGAGTACAATGCCGTTTACCTATATTAATCCTACAGTGTGCCGTTTCTAGAGGCGTAGGTAAATGTCGTAACGTAATTGTCAGAAGCGTGAAGGCATTACCACTCTGATACGGGAGTGTTTTACATGGATTGGACTGCCACGGGGAACAGAATTTCCGACGGCATTGCACCCGAAGATATTGCGTAGCTAGCACTAGATAATTGCCTCCCAAGGATGGTGTTGTGATTGAGTTCCAGTAGAACTTGGCAAAATGGTTTGCATTGTTTATAATTTGGCGAATGATTATGCGGAACTCGGCACAAGGGAGGTCAGTTTTGTTACAAACTAACATAACTAGTCGAAATTCACGGAAAATATGAAGAGGCTCTTAACCAGCGAAGATAAGTTTGCTGGGGAATCGCGATATCGAAGACCTCGTGTTTCTCGCAAAGACGTAATACCGGAACGAAAATGCGTTATTTCTCAGTGTTGTGCTGCGCGGTCCACTTAACCTAGCTAGAACGGTAGGTATAGGTTTCACTTGAAACTGTTGTTTTACAATACATAGACATTTCGGCTGGATTGGCTATTACGTAAAATCGAGGTGCGTGTGTGATGAGTTACACATTAAAAATGCATCACGTATTGTCGTCACTGAGCGCATAAAATTAATAGATTGTGGTCCGGGCAATGGGCAAAGAATGGAAAATAACAACGAAAAGCTGCCAGTAGTATATTTGTGGACAATTATGGCGGGAGTTATGGAGGTGAGAATGCAGTATATGGACAGACTTGGTACAACTTTTCGTAAGCCGATTCACAGAAAATACTCCGTTAATTTTACCTCAAGCATATTGCTGAGACACAATTTTCGATAAGTTAGTACAATGCAGATTGCACAGGATGATTGAGTGGCATACACATCGAAAATATACCACAAAATACATGCACTTTGAGATAGCAAGAATTAGCAACATAACGATAATGTGAATGCAGCTTAGTTCGTGTCTTCTCAGTCAGCCGCGTAAGGACAAATACTGGAAGGTCTAAAGAAATGTAAGTGGAAACCGATCAATGAATGTAACAGTAGGACACCGAGAGTTTCATGCTCATCGACCGTAATGATGAGAAATTCGCTTTGCCAGCACAAGCCAAGGCTGGCGAGGTTATATTCAGAGGTTAGACTTCAGTCTACGGATGACGGATGTTTGGTGAAAAATGTCGACTATTCTATAATATATATCAACCGGGTAGGTTGTAGCCGAGAGCGGAACGGTTTACAGTTGACATTTGATTTAATTTGTGATACTCATCGGAGTACAATGGCACTTTTCTTAGAAGAATGCCCAATATATATTTGATGTCTATTGTCTTTTATGAACTGCAGGTACGATGGACCACTGCCATTGTGAACGCTGATGCACAGGATGTATACTTGACTAGAAAGTGTGCGAAGCCGTTGATTTAGGCCACTTACTTGGTTGTTGACGCAGCATGTCCCACCAACCACGATTTTCTCCTTTGCACACTGAGGTTTGACGCATGTATATGCTGCTTGTCTTCTGTAAGAATCTGACCACCATCAGCCGCCTCGCTTAAGTCGAAATCTGGCCATTTCAATCCTTCGACGGTACTTTGATCATGATTGCATTGATATTGTTTATGCATTGGACGGAGTGTCACATATGCCACACACCCGCATTGGATCGTTAACGCAATGTAGCAGACTACTGGGTACACCGTCAACAAAAACAACACCACCATCGACAACAACAACAGCAGTACATCAGCCATTTGAACTCATGCTTTGCTGCCAATCAACCATGCTGACCCATGGCATAAAGAATAATAAAAGAGAGATGTGGGGACTTACTTGAAAACCTTAATGCCCTAAGCAAGTATTCAGAGTGAAGGCAACATACCTTCAGAAACAGCTGGCTATCGTGGAAGAAAAGGCGGCATCGACGAGATAGCTTTCTTGCGGCCTTCACTGCCCTGCGTTATAATCATCCATTACACCGCAGATAACTCAGCACCAAACACACATTAAACAGGCAATCCGACTAGAAGACGGCAACAGACGTACCACTGGTGTCGGTTGCGATCTATGTCCTGTAAACTCTCAATCCAAGCACAAGACGAATCAAGTGGACTCCAGCCCGGAAGAGGATAAGGAACAACGGCACACACTTTGGTCGTCAGTGACTTCATTACCCGCAGCCAAGCCAACTTCTGTCCACCTCGAGCTCTGCACCATTTTACATCTGGCAGACTAAACAAGGCCCTTCTAAGTACACGGTGACCAGGCATACGTAGAACGTGCCCAAACCAACGCAACTAATTCAGTGTTATCTCTTGTACCAGGGAGCTAGCATGATTATCGCTATCTAGTACTCGCCTAGGCATTTAATCATTACGGACACGCTGATGCTATCCGACAAAAGCAACGCTTCGCAGACAACGGTGATCAAAGACTTGAACGCTCCTCGATCTCCAGACCGAAGGGGCCAGCTTTCACTACCATAGATCAGGACAGCTTTGTCTGTGGCGCGGCCTTTTAGACGAAGATAAACTCCCTTCCGGCGTCAAAGATGCCGCGTGTGCAAGAAGGTGGGTCTTGCCTTTTCAATGCGTGAACTGATTTCAGTCTCTATGCGCCCATCGTTGCTGATGCATCTGCCAAGGTAAGTGAATTGGTCAACCACCTCAAGTTCCTCGTTGGCAACGGTTAAGGGTTCAGAATGTGGTTGGTGCTTGGGCAGCAACACTTTGCGTTTGTAAGGTACAAAATGTATACCAAATAATGAGATCAATCTAGTCAGGTTATTCAAGGTTCATAATGCTGCCGTAACATGGTCGAAAAGCAAGAGGATTTCGTCCGTATCATCAAGATCAACGAACCTTCCACCAAGCAGGATCTCAACATCTACACCTTGAGTTTCCGTAAAGGAACACTGCATGTTAGAATTCACAAGGAAATTGAACAAAATTGGGAAAATCGGACAGCCCTGACGAACGTCACTTGTGGTCGGAAATCTATCAGACAGGTCACCGTGGGCCCTGATTTGGTCTGTAGTGTACGGGTATAGAGCACGCAGGATGTTCACATGTTTCGCAGGAACACCTTTCCGTGCAAGTATTTAGAACAGAAGCGATCGATCAACTGAATCGAACGCATTCTTGAAATCAAAGAAACAGCAATTCTGGGAATGTTGTATGCGTGGCTCTGCTATAGCACAATCCACGGTGTGAATATATGGTCTCCAGTGCTCCGTCTAGGTCAAAATGCTGCCTACTCTTCCATAATCTGAGATTCTCGTTCCACAGTGGGTCGAAGAATGAGAATCGTGGCCAGTGATTTTGTCACAACTAGCGTTTGACTTATACCCCTGTGGTTAGAACAGTCTGTGTGACTGTCCTTCTTGTATATTGCCACAAAAATCCATTCATTCCACTAAGGTGGGACATTCTAATCCTTCCAGCTACGTTCGAATTGCGAGGTCAGTGCTTCGCAGAGAACGTCACCTCCATCCTTAAATAGTGCAGGTGGAACGACATCCGGGCCAACGGCAAGAAAACGATTGAGGGCTGCGATCGCGTTTCGGACCTTGGCCTCCGACGGAAGCTCTAAACTAACAATGTGGCGGTGCACACGAAATTTAACTTACGTTGTATCTCTTTCATGATTTAGTGTATGCTTTGCATCTAAAACGAAACACGGAATATTCAGTTGGCTAAATACTCTATACAAACAGTTGAGAAGGATTGCTTCGCATCCCAATCGCGCCTTAAAATCTCCGCAGTACTAACATTTTCCTTCATGTATAGGAAAACATACTTCTTTTAGAATAACTGCCAATTGCGAAGACATCTACTGCAAGCAATTTACTAGCTTTCTGCATAAACGATTGGAAGTTAGATTCTCGTTACTTGCCTAGACACCCCCCATTTTCCAACCACTGGTAATCACATGAGGTGAGATGAGGTGGCTTCGAGAACCCGTCGCATCACTTCGACACAACCTACGCCACCGGATTCAAGATATGCAGAATTGATGAACATTCGGCAAATCGTGCTTACTTACTGCGGCACTACTCTCGCCGGCAACTAAATATCCACCAGTCGGGACTTCTGTCATCCAGTAGACTCATGACTTTCTTCGAAAAGCGAATGCCCTTCATACAAAGCTAGCGTGATGATACCAAACCTGAATACAATTGATGTTGTCACAGTGTGATGCGATGAGCGACAATGTTCCGGCAACAACAAAGTTGCGCAATCCGGACTACTGGCGAAACATATGAATGTCTAAGTCGGAAGCATGTAACTTCATGGAATTTATGATTAGGAAAAACCGATTCAGTGATTAGGGAGGCAAATGCTGGATATCGTACAGACATTATTCAAGTATTCATGATGGTTAGAATCAGGCGCATGGCCGCGTAAAACCCCTTGCTGGGGTGCATTTGGTGATATTTCACGTAACTATCCGGAATATGGTGTGCATCCCGTTGGTGAGCACATCACAGCCCAAGTAATGCTCCTATTGTAAACTAGTTGTGGTAATCCTACTAGGTAACAAATGAGATGTAATTTCGCAAGCAAGGCAGAAGGAATTCTAGGATGAAATATATCACGCTGACTCAGCCACGCCATAAGAAGAATAGTAGCCTGCATTATTTTATCCTCATAGTTCTGAGACAACTAACAGAAATACACTAGAGACCAATGTACCGAAGGACCATAGTAGTGTATGTAGTAATTAACTTGCACGGTCCAGTTGATGCCTCGGCCAAACCCCGGAAAGATGGTGTTGAGAAGAGATATTTTGCGACTCACTTGTCAAAAATGTAGAACCAATGGACTCTGCTTGCATAGCCTTTAAAGAAAAGATTACCTACGTCGACGCGATCCATACTTGTTTATCAGTGCTTCTGCTTCTGTGCTGCACACTACTTGGGTTGTACTACGAAACGCCTATCCCACAGGATACTCATTCACACCTCGAGGTGGTATTACAGAGACGAAGCGCAGTCTTCTGATATCTCCATCACGTAGCCCCTGCATGAGTACGACCAACCAGTCTCTGAAAGCTACTTCAGCATTATCTACTACACTCATCGGCACAATCGAATTCGTTCACATGTTTATGTTACAATCAACGAGACCGCTATGTGGCAGTAAGCCAGCTTAAATGTTCAGTTGCACTGCTGCTGTCAATTCTGCACAAAGTGCCTAGCCCAGCTGCGACCAACCTAATTCTACCGTTAGTGACATCGCTCTCCAATCTGTTGTGAAGCATTACTTGGTCAACTGTCCGGCCACGATAATGCGATCGCTTATTGTGATACCGGTTTTTGAAACAGTAGGCAGAGTGCCATATTTAGAAGACCACATGTGGAAAAAGTTTCAGATTGACCATCAGCACCATCGAAAGAGAGAAACAAAACATGCAGTAGTTAACACAAGATGGTGCTTCATCTTGAACACACAGGGAGATTTTAACCGCTGCAACTACTACAGCGTGAGGCTCGGTGGAGTGGTTGTAGAAGCCGCAGTCCAGAGATACGGCACCACGTTCAGCGAGTGAAACCGGTTACAATGCTGATGGGAATAAAACAATGAAACAATGGTCCATTACGGTCAAAGACAGCAATGCATAACACGTCCTGTTGAAGGAGCGTAATGATTGCGAAAATTCAATTGCATGATAATGTGAAAAGCGTTTTGTTGGACTCACCATTGACTTATGAAGAATAGCGGAGAGGTTCGCGTATTAAATGCATGAATACATAAATCCGTTGTTTGGGAATTTGGTAAGGCAATGTTTGATTGCATTTTGTAGCCCCTAGCTAACAATTCATAAAATGCAATGCAAATGAGACAACGCATCGTCAACCCGTCTTTTACATATGGCCAGATTGGGAACAGAAACGACATAAATAGGGAGGGAGTTCGAAGTTTAGCACACGCGGAGGGAAAATACATTTCTGCAGCATTCCAGTCGGCTACACTGCATTGTTCAGTGTCAGAGGACTTATGGTTCATCAAAGGACCTATGGAAGAATTGTAACAGAGATTCAGGTAGCTTGGTGGCCGCAGCCTTCAGTGCCTTCGGACGGATGTTGTCTTCTTCTGGAGGGCAATCTTCCACAGTGAGAGTACCATCCTTAACACAATTGGTGGGTTGAAAATTACATTTGGAAACAATGGAGTCTGTACTGTCATGACGTGGATCAGGTAAAGGCTGCAATTTCGAAAATTGTGGTTTATTTTGGCCTCAGTGAATTAGCTGCTTCTTCGGCGCTTCGTACTCTACCGCCTGTCGTGAAAAGTGGAGGGATGTCATGCTTCACTTTATGAAGATCGTTGACATGCCTAGACAACAAGTTGTTGTCTGCCAGGAATTTGTTGGCTAAGCACTGTCGATTGGTTACTTTGTTCTCACGGACAGGTAGGGTGCAACGATTGTGATGTGTCCATAAATTGCACCAAGTCTCCGAGTCGAAGTTACTTGTGTAGGCACGCCATGCTTTATCCCTTA